TTTTAGAGTTTTTGGAAAATTTTGCCTCCCTAATTTGAACCTAAATTTTAAAGTAACACAAAATTGATATGGTTTTTATTAAAGATAATTGGTTAATATAAAACATATTGATAGTAAAATGTAAATAAGTTTAGATCGATTGATTATATCATATGTATTGATAACATTATTAATAAAAAAAAGAATTGATTGATTCTTTAATCCTTTTCTCTCTTCCAATTAGATTTATTCAATTTCAAAATCATAAGGCCAACAAGATCTAAGTAATATATTTTAAAGCTATTATTTTTTCTAAGCAAAATCTCTTATTTCCATTACTCAGATCAATAAAACTTTTAAGGTCAACTTTTTTCTAGTCTAATAAAACTCAAGATAATATGTTTTTAGATAGAACAAATGAAAAACTCCTAAGTGACCAATGTAAGACTTAAAAGATATAAACTAAAAAAGTATAGTTTAAAAGATGATAAAGAAAAAACTATTAAGATACAAGTCTTTTATACAGTCTGAAAAAAAAAGAACATTCTAAAAGGATTCATTATATTAAAAAGAGATCTAAAAAGTTAAATTTTTTGAAAAAACTAGATTTTATTTTTTATTTTTTTATTTTTTTGTATATGTATTTGTATATTTTTATATATAATTATTTTCCTTTCATATTTCTTTTCTCTTATGTAATTTCTTGTTAATTAGTGACTTAAAGGATGTATGGTAGTGCTAAATTATTGACAATAATAGTAAAAATTAGAAAGGTATTTATTTAAAATCTCTATCAAAGTGAAATATTATTTTCAAGATTAAACTTAGAAACTTTTATATTTAAGATAAGTTTATTAGATATTATATAGATATTTAGCTATAATATTTTTCATTTTGCTTTAATAAATATGTACTTTATTTTCTTAAAAATTAATAAACTATTATTTAGTTTGACTGCTGATAATTAAAAAAAAAAAAAAAATTTATATAATATTTAATTTGTAATATTTGATATAATTTTTTTGTAAAATATAATTAATAAAATTTTTATTATATTTAAAATATTTATATATATTAAAAGATTAGAAATTATTTATTATTGATTTATTTTATTAATATATATATAATATATAATTGTTTTCAAAAGTTTGAATCTACTTATTATGTTTTTATTATAAATTTCAACCTTAATAATTTTTAAATCTTTAATTATATAATTAAAAATTATAAAATTTATATATATTATATTTTAATGCCTATATTATTTCTTATGTTTTTGAAAAAAAAATTTTATTATTGTTAAATATTTTTATATTTTTATTAATTATTATATGATTTAGGATAACAATCAATTAAAATTATTCAAGAGTAAAAATTTTATAAAGGAAAAAAATTTTATAAATAAAACTAATATTAAAATATAATATATATAAATTTTATAATTTTTGATTATATAATTAAGGATTTAAAAATATATCTGTGGGTCTATAGCATAGTAGTAGTGTTTCCAGGTCACAATCACAAAATTCAAAGTTCAATACCACATAGGAATCAAGTGAAAAATATTGTATTACAATGAATTCAATACTCCATTGAATGATAGTAAATGTTATTGGGCATAAACCTGGTTATCTTACCGATAACTAAAATAGAAGAATCTGCTGTTACACAGTATTATTTGTAGCTAATCTTTACTAAATCAGGCCAGTTTACAGATGTTGTGAGATGATCAGTATCTTATCAGTATCCTGATAAGGTGGAGGAGAATAGGGCTGATCTTGCAATCAACCAGAGTGAAGACTGAATTGGCACCAGGTACCTTAATAATCTTACTAACTGCAAGAAGTTGTCATAAGTCAGGAAGGTTAAAGTTCTGAAGAGAGTAAATATTATACCGATGGAATGCTTAAAAGCATAGTCAATTGTTGTGACTTATCATTGGGAGATCTTGGTGGAAGGAGGAATTCGTAGACTATATTAAAGTCTCAAATCTGGGGATAGATTAGAGTAAATGCAATAGTCTGATATCTAGATTATTCTATAAAAATATTCTGGGAAAAATTAAGAGAGTATTATATGGTTTTCCTTATCGGACTAGTTAATATATATAGTATTTAATATATTTACAATATATAAAATCATCATATGTACAAAATTATTTTTATGTAAATAAAAATCACAGGACTGTAATAGGTCATATAAAAAGAGTACTTCAGCAGGGTGAGATGATATCTAAGATTCCACGTGAGTATTCTGTAGGCATATTATAATAAGTACTGTAAAAAGAATATTTGGTGAGATGAGATATGAAAGAGGTCCTGTGATACAGATCCTGAATCTATAGAAATAAGGATCAGGGAAGGGTAATACAGATATAGATAGTGGAGTAATAGGGTTTCTTCCAGCAACAAGCCATGAGAATACACAAGATGTTACAATCAGGTTTATGAATATAATGGTAGGATGGACATAACTTGCTATAGTTAGTATAAGATTGATTATAGAATTGTTCTATAATTAATAGCTAGACTAATATGTAAGATCATTCTATCGACTTTAATAAATTGGGCTTCATTATTCTTTAAAAAAAAAAAATTAAGGATTTAAAATTATTAAAACTGAAATTTATAATAAGAAAACTCAAATTTTTGAAAGTAAGTATATATATATACAGTATATTATATATTATTATAATATTTTTTTAAAACAAAATTTAGATTAAATATAAAAAGTAAACTTATAATTTAAAATTATTGAAATAGATAAAAGGTCTTATTTATTTATTTGATAAAGAGTTTTTTTATTTGATTCAATTATTTTATAAAATTTAAATATGATTTAATAAAAAATTTTTATTTTTATAAAAAAGTTTGTCAATTATTTTGAGTTATATATTATTTCTTATTGTTTTTTTTATTAAATAAATTGTAAATAAATATATATATATATATTTATTTAAAGAAAAGTTTTTATTATTTTTTTGTTATTGAATTTTTTTAGAAAAAAATAATTAATAAAAAGAATTTTATCTATATTAATAATATACAGTATTAAAAATATATATATAGTCAGTTTATTTAAATTATATTTAAAATTATTCAAATAATATTTTTGATTATTAATAAAATATTTAATTTATTAATGATTCTTATTGGTTTTTAAAAAATCTTTTTAATTTAAATTATAAATTATTTATATATTAATATATTTATTATTTAAATTGAATTCTTATAATAATATTATAAATAATAAGCTTAAAATATTGATTAATCACTAAAATTAAAAAATTTTTGAATTAAAAAAAAAAAAAAAATAGTAAAAAATGAAATAAAATAGTTTAAATAACAAATAAACTTTATAATAAATAAATAATTGATAATTGAATTAAAATTATATAACAATTCTTTAAAATTTTTATTATTCATAATTTTTTAAAGATAAAGAAATCTTTTTCTTTCATATATGTTATTTTATTTGCAATATGTTAATGATTTAAATTAAAAAATCCATATTATACTAATACTTCATCAAAAAAAAAAAAAAAGAAAGATTGATGGATATATAGTATTATGCAATATATAATAGATTCAATATATCTTTTAAAAACTAAACATATTATTATAGTAAAATGGTTTATCATAATAAAAAAATATTTATATGCTTGTTATTACCTTTTGGCTCAACTGTGAATTGAACAATACAAGAGAACCAAGAAAAAAAATTTAATATAAAAACAAAAATTATAATACATATAGTATATGTTATATCTACAGTTTATATTGTGAAAAGAATAAATTATAGTAAAATCAAAAAAATATTATTATACACAGTACATGAATTGAAGAAAAATAAATAAATTGAAACCAGTAAGAGCTAGGTAAAGCTTGATCAATATTTTGAAATCAACAAAAAATAAAACAAAGAAAATAAAATTGCAAGGCACATCTAAACTTTAAAAAAACCAGAAATTATGTAAATTAATAAAAATAATTCGAAAATATAGTATAATTTAAAGTTAAATACGAAATAAATACAAAAAGTTGCATTTAGAAATTAAAAAAAAAAAATTCTTTCACGTCTATAAAATTTTTTTTCTTGAATGTCGGTTTAATGCAGCATATCATCAACTAATTTGTACTTCGATTTATGCTTGGTGGGTCTGTTGGCAGAAAAATTTTTGTCCGGGGGTTGCAATGAATTAAGATCGCATCGAGAGGAATATTTCATCTCAAATAAATGTTTAAGGCGAGGGCGTCAATATACTGTAGGTTAAAGTTTGCATGCAAGTTCGATTATAACGATGATTCTAGGATCTCATGAACACTCTTCTCTGATTATATAAGGAAGTTTGATCGATCGATGGTTTGTTGATCCATAGTAGGAGTGACGATGGTGGTGTTTTCGCAAAAATGAACTCAGATTTCCAGAAAAGGTTTTTAAAGGTGTAACAAATATACCGTATAATCTTATGATGGTTTGTTTTTTTCGATGTTTACATTAACAAATCATCCCTTTCATGGCTACGACTGGTTAAAAAAATTTTTTTTCGAATGAACCTTGTTAACACAATATAAATCAAGTTGTTATTGCACAATTCCTGCTCGGGTGAAATTCCTTGTGTCTTTTTTACGAACTTTTATTTACTGTAAAATACGAGCAAGATACCTTCCAACAATTGTGACCGCCGGCATATCATAGACAATGGTACTATTTACTCTAATTTGTTTTGATCGAGTCATATAGGCGCCACAAATATCGTAAAAGCTTCCGTTTTTGTTGAAGAAATGCAAGAAAAAAAAAAAAAAAAAAAAAAGATCCATTATATATTTCTTACAAAATTATACGAATGAACCCATTCATTGTTGGGAATCGTAAATACAATTTACAAAGGAAAAAAAAAAAAAAAAAAAAAATACAAATACAAATACAAATTGATAAAGTAAAAAATTTCTATTGTCACAGAGGCAACAATATTTAATTTTATTCTACAAATATTGAGATACTTTACATACATCATTTGTCTATTCAAATTTTTCAATAAATTTACTTTTTCCCGTCACGTTGGTCATCAAGTTTGCGGGTATTTCCATTCTTATTCTTACAGGTCTTGAACCCCCACCCCCGTTACCACCATTTTCACCCTCAGGCAACCTTACTGGTGGCGGCGGTGGTGGTATTACAATCTCTGTCATTCCATCTTGAGCTCCCTCTTCCAGTGAATCAGCATCAGGTAACAGTTGTTGACCACATTTACTTCTGCGTTTTATAAGAATCGCTACAACCAAACATATCATCGCTGCCGCAACTATGGCCACACCTATTATTGGACCCAATAAGTTACTATCATTAGTTGGATCATTGTAAGCTTCATTCGTTTTGCTACTGGTGGTTGTTTGCGATGACGACGGCAATGGGCCCAATATTCTCCCAGAAGTGGTGGTGGCGCCTACGATTGTGGGTATGCTCGCCGAAAATATGCCAGGCGAAGATTCACTTAAAGTGCTCACAGAGGTCTCAACAATCGTGACACCGCTTGTGGTTAAAGTAACTTTGAAAGTGGTAATCACGGGTTTAACCGAACTACTCTGAGCATTGGTATGAGTTGGAAATACTAACGTAGCTAGATTCCGAGTTTGAGATAGAGGGGGCAAGGGTTCAGTGTGAGCAGTAACAAGTGAAAAAATGGATGGAATGCTGAATGATGGTGCAGGTGTGTGGAATGTAAGAATGGAGGGAATGCTAAACTGAGGCGTGGGCCCCGTGGTTGTAGATGGTCGAACGATTGTAAATATTGGTGGGATGCTGAACGAAGGTGGTGGTAATGAAACGAGCGTTGGTGTGGGTATCTCTGTGCTTGTGGCTACTACATTTGTAGGAATTGGAGTTTTCTGCCTGATGGCAGAAATTATGCTTTGCAGTGGTAAATTGACGTTTTGCGACGTTATTGGTGGTGCTGTCGGTACAATGGCTGGTCGTGTTGCTGTGGGTATTGCTGAGTTTGTGGCTATTGGAATGGTAGGTAATGGCACCTTTTGTGACGACGGCTGTGTTACCACTGAATTCGGTGCATTTGTTGGGACATTTTGTGATGTTATTGGTGGTGCTGTCGGTACAATGGCTGGTCGAGTTGCTGTGGGTATTATTAGGTTTGTGGGTATTTCAATTGTAGGCAGTGGCACCGCCAGTGATATCGATGCCGATACCGATGGTGCTATCACTGGGGTCACTAAATTCTGCGCATTCGTTGATGGAGCATTGGTCGCCGGATCATTTGTTAGTGGGGCATCTGTTGGTAGGGCATTTGTTGGTGGGGCATCTGTTGGTGGGGCATCTGTTGGTGGGGCATTGGCACTTGTTGGTGGAGGATCTGTTGGTGGGGCATTGGCATTTGTTGGTGGAGTATTGATTGGTCCATTTGTTGCCGGAGTATTCGGATCATTTGTTTCTAGAGCATTTGTCACTATAACTCCTGAAGGTGTTCCAGGTACATTTTCCGGTGTACTTTCCGCAGAATTCGACGGGGTCACCGCTCGGGCGAGCCATCGTGGAGGCGAACTAGGATTATTTGGTGTCAATTGATTAACTTTACAAGGGGTGCTCGTTCCAGCCGAACTTGCCGACATTAAATTTCGAATTATTACAGATTTTGGAATATTTTTATTAATAGAAACTGTTGAACTCGTATGCGATGCTGATTTTTTGGTGGTGGCTTTTATTGTTAGATCATCTTTGGCCTTCTCTTTTGGTTGTACTTTGGAGGTTTTATTTATTTATTTTATTTTATTTTTTTTTTTACAAAAAGTCGAGATCGAACAATAAAGAAGAATTAGGATCGAGGGTCATGTAAAAGAAGACGAATAGTCAGGATTCAGTTATACGCTTACCGACTGCACCACCTGGTCGTTTTTCTATTTTATTGGGTTCATGTTTCAATGTGTTTGATTCTATAAAGTTTTTGTCAATAGAATAAGCGCATACGAATCCTGGATAATGTTGACAAGACATTAATCATTAACAATCGTTAGATTAAAAACAAAACCAACACGAGTGGTCCTAAATTCTTACCATTATTATTATTATTATTATTATTATTATTATTATTATTATTGAAAACTACCACGAAAAAAATCAAAAAGCAAAATACGAGGCCGACAGTATTCCTAAATTTCATTTATATGCAACTAATAGTTAATTCTTCTTTAATATGACGAAAAGGAGAATGGGAAAATGTGTTTCGAAAGAGTTCCCGAGAGAGGAGATAAACTTTCATGAGGGAATGAGAGGACGAGTGAGCTTGAGGGTTCTGCCGACAACATACGAAATACGTGCAAGCCTCCAGAAATAAATAAAACTATCGCTAGTTTTATTTTATTCCGAAGGAAGAAAAGGAAAAGATGGAAGGAGGGATAAAGGAGAGAGGAGAGAAAAGGAAGGAGGGGAGAGGGGGAGGGGAAGTGATATTTCACGAAAAGAAAAGAAAAAGAACGAATATATTTTTTTTTTTAGATTTTATGTGTTCATTGATGAGAATATGCACCCAGTTGTCGGGAAAGAGCATGAGAAGACAAAAAGGAAGGATAACGACATTTGTTGGTTATTATAATTATGGTGTTAAATGTACGTGCATGCTGGCAAAAAACGGTAGGACACCCTGATACTGTACAAATATGCTATAATAGACATGCATTATAGGATCGTTGAACTTTGGCACCCCCAAAACCAACATCTCCGGACGTTTCGATGATATACATTTCTTCCTTTTTTGGAAGTCAAATAATGCAATGGTTGAACTCATAAATTATCTACGACGTCAATGGTGGCAGTTGAAATAGCGAGACAATTTGCTGACCGGAAATACGTGCATATATAAATTCACAAGCACCTAATAATTTCTTTATCCAACGTACTGTACTTCACTTTTTTTGGAATAAACGTATCAATATGCATGGTTTTTTTTTTTTTTGTCGGTTCGTACCGTATTCGGTATGCGTATATTATATTCAAGTAGTACGCGTATGTATTTTGTGCAACCTCAGAAAATCATATTATGCGTCCACAGGTTTAATTTTGTTTAATTTGTTGATTTGTCGCGTGCCACTAATTTTTGAAAATCGTTATTGTTGACCTCCACAATAGCCTCCAGTCGAATAAGCTTTGGGGTAATAAGGTGGTGGCCATCAACGAGTCCGAATTATCATCGTCTCGATTAAAAAAGTTTTATTCGCATGCTCAAACCGTGGAATCATAGAACTCCTAGCGTGAACTTGACGACGTACGGTAATTTAGGAGAATGCTATCGGTTACGACTTTAAATCAGTATAGAAAACATCCCAATTAGGGCGAACCCACTTCCCGCAAATAAAGAGATGGTGTGACCATGCGTATCGCCTTATCGTTTCCTTTGCTACATTATACAGCAGGCCATTGTTTCTCAATCCACTGCGAGGGTTGATTATCGGTATGTATCTCGTGGATCATGGCCAATAAAGTTGAGTTGTTTTGAACGAATTCCGCTTTCGTTTTACCAAAGAAAAACGCAGCTGCTCGAGCTCCGCTTAACGATCGATGAAAAAAATGCATATGCTGTACATACTGTATACGATTCTTTTTTTTTTTTCTTTTTTTTTTTTTGAAAACTAAACTATTATTAATTTTTTTTTTTTTAATTAAAATTAGAATCCCGTGAAAAGAAAGCATACATGCCTTTGTTGGTCACACGGGGTGTAGGCACTTACCTTTTTACAATTGTAAACATTCGGTACAGAATCCAGTCATATATTTTTTTTCGAGCCAACGTGATTTCTGAGGTACAAAATAGATATAATGTTATACTTAATATAAAAGGAGCAAGCCCCCGCGTATCACCAATAAGAAAAGCCTCAATCTAGTTGGGGAAGTTCTAAATGTAATTAATTTTGTGAAAAGGAAGAAATTTTGACACAAAGGCTCGTCATTGTAAAAATCAAATTTCATTTTTCCGCTTCTGAATAGCATCATATTATCAAATCAAAAATCCCTGCGCAATTCAAATCTCAATCTTGATTTATTCAATTTAATTAAAGTTGCATACGTATAACGGTACTCTATCGGCTATGAAACTAAGCAATTCAACTTGTATGCACGGAATTGATCCTTCCAATGAGCAAAAATGGTTTCAAAAAGCGATTTAGATGTCCCCATGGCTGTTGCATATTTTAGTTTCAAATAAGGTTTCACGAAGCAATTTAACCACAATTTAGAACCACATTCACTATTCACTTTCCCCCGATTGCCCGACATTTTTATTGTAAAGGAATTTCGATGTTCACCTTTGTGACACGCACCATAAAGACAAAATTTAACCGTGACACACCCATTTCTCCACGTATCATTCTATCCATTCGTTAATACTGTATTAATTATATACAGTGCGATTACCCGCAAAAGTTTCCACTTATTACGTTTTTATCTTATTCCTCTGACTCTTTTTTTTTCAAGAATTGGCAATGGCATGACACGTGATACGCGACCCAAGTTATGTCACGGGGTGAAGTGAACTGGTGAGCTTTTTGTAAATCTTGTAAAAATAAAAATAACCAAAATTTTAAAAGAATTAAGATAAATAATTAAATTTAAGAAGTATAAATGAACCACTTGAACAATACAAATAAATAGTATCAATGTGATTTTATTTTTTTTTTTAAAAAAAATGATGTAATGAATAATTTTTTTCTTTACATGCTAATGAAAAAAAAAAATTTGCAGTAAATTATATATTTACACTTTAATCAACTTGTTTTAATTCTAGAAACAACGAGTCTCTTTATTAATAGCTATAAATTAGAAAAGTAACAGCCTCATGGAACAAAGGGCACTCATCTTAATGAATGAATGAAAGAAAGAAAAATTAAAAATGCCAATAGAACTTTAACCAATAAATTAAATTCAAAGAATTTTTCAATTGATTTCGAAATTTTGTATGAATAAGATACTGTTAAAAAAAAAAAAAGGAATATTTTGTCTTTCAATTAAAGTATGTCGGTTTTAAAACTTTTTTTTTTTTTTTTTTTTTTTTTTTGCGCGGTGAACAATGATGCTTCTATACGGTTATTCGATTAGTAAAACGTTCATCCTGTGTATCATTTTTCACTGGCTGAATGCTAGTGTGATTGTCTCGGGTTTTCACAATCACCGGCTGATGCCAGACGCAGTAATCGTGAATCGAGAAAATCGAAAAAAGAGAGTGAACATTTGTTTCCTTGAATTCTATAGTTTTCATGGTCAAAAAAAAAAAAAATATATTTTTTTTACGCGTTGAAGTGTAGTTTCACATTAGATAGACGTGAATTTTTCTATTCAAAGAACCACGCTTAAAGGGTCCAAGGTTTTTTGACTACAAGTATTCAAATATTTTAGGCACATACTGTACATGTACTTTTTTGAAGAGCCGGCTTCCAAATTGTATCTAGTAACTTTTGTGAATAGGCCTATTTGCGAAGAACGGAACCAAGATTCGAACTGATTAATAACCAGATGAACGTTTGCTTTCACATTCATGCATTATGTTCGGGTTACATTGAATGGATTGGGGGTAACTATCCAGCTCTCTTGATTCCAAATATTAACAATATAATTTAAAGTTAATCCTAACATCTATTAAAGACGTGAAAGGGAAAGGAATTTCGAATGCACGTAATAAAATTTTTCGGGAATGTGCAACATTAAAAACCAATCTGAATCACAAGTGTAATCACAAGGAAATTGCCGAGGTGTATATGGAACACTTCCATCTTTTATGAAAGCGATTGAAATGTCGATTGAAATGTTCGTTCCTTATCGTTTCAGAAGATGAAAATGTATAGTACTTCAAAGCATCTCTCAGATACTTCGATGAGGATAGGGGCTCGGTCACCTTCATTCTCGCCACTATGATCCCAGACATTAAATGAATGATGAATCATAAAAGAAGTAAAACGGAGAGTTCAAGCTAATGCCACATTTGCCTCTTTGTGTTTCATTTTAATGTTATCTTTAGGTACGTTGAATCAACCCAGATTACATGCGCATTTTGCAAAACCGCATTAGAATTGGAAAATTTGATAGGAAAGATTTGGCGGACGGGATGTCCTCATATCGAAATCGAATACCTTCAGTCTAGATTGTCCAATAATTTGTTATCAAACTAAAACATGTGTAATACATACGGAAATGAAGAAATAATTTTTAAGCTAGCAATCCAAGAAGAATAAAGGGGAAAGAAATGTGAGAAAGTGTCAATGGAATTACAGGTGTCAATCTATTATTGAATGCAAAAAATTTGTGCATGAAATATGTAGTTGATATTTTCCCAATACGTACGTTCAAGAACGATCAAAGAGAGACAATTCACTATAATCATATGCTCAATTGTTCATCTTCTTCGGAATCTTGTAATTTGACTGGATAGACGACGTAAAAACACTAGAATCGCATTAGTCGACATAAAGGGTATTCGTGGTTGTGATTTATTACTGCGATAAATTACTACTGTATCTATCTTTAATACAAACAGTTCGTGTCAGTAATTAGATATCGAAGTATTCGGAACCGCCAAGCAATCCTAAAACTCATGCTGTTTGCGACACCAAAAAGACGTCACACGTTG